TTTGTCTTCTTGTGCTTGTTTAGGAATTCTGGACAGGCTCTTCAATTTAGAGGGCCAGACTTTGTCTTCGAGTCATTTGTTCTTGAATCAGCATAATTATCTTCAATCTAGCCGTTGAAAATCAAGAGATTGATTTTTCCTTACCAACGGGTAGAATTTCTTCATTCAGGACTTAGATAATTTTTCTAAGTCTTTTCTCACTTGTCCGCTTTCTGAGAATTCCGGTCTTCAGTGAGTCTTCCGATTCTTAGCTGACAAATCCGGATGAATCATTTTCAGACTTCCGGGTGAGAAAGAGATCCGCGCTAGTCTTCTGATTTGGATGACTTAGCCTTCAGCGGGTTGTAGCGAGACATCCGGTTCTTATGTAGTCTCCGGATTTGAGGATTTACATCTGATTGAGAAATCCTTACTTGTCTCTGACATTTCCGAACAAGATATCCAATTTCCATATCACTGAATTTGATTAAGTCTTCAGGCATCAAAACGCTTAAAGAAATATCACAGCTTTTATTGGAAATATCAAGAGCTCGGTTTTGACAATATTTCTAAAAAGAAAAATTACATTGAATATTGGGGGAGACCTAAAGTCCCTAATACATTCTAAATACATCATCATCAAAATCTATAATATTTTTCCCAACATGAGCAAATGCAGAAAAGATGATCATTTGTCTCTACTTCCAATCCACACAAAATACAGATGGGATCCAGGTTGAAAAAACTTACTCAATCTGTCCTTGGTCAGGATTCTTCCTCTCCGTATCAGCCAAGAAATAAAGCTTTGTTTAGGTATTGCCCATTTATTCCACATTAAAGCAACCCAATCCACCTTGCCATCGGTACCACATAACCATTTATACCTTTCTTTTACATTGTATTCAGTCATTGTGTTCATGCCTCTGAAAAGCTTGCCATTTTGTACCAACTTCTTCCAGTAAAAATAGTCATGCATCCGATTTGATTGTGTACTCCTATATAGTACAGTTTTTAAGGTATTTACTATGCATGCATTTGGCCCATAAGGATTCCTTCTTCTTAGCCACATCCCACATGAGTTTCATTATACATGCCTGATTCCATATCAATAAATTTTTCAACCCCAAACCACCTTCATGATTTGGTAGACAAACCTCTTCCCAATTGATTAAGGGGCACTTCTTATAGTCTGGAGTGGAGCTCCATAGGAAATTCCTGCATAGGGCCATAATCTTCTACACAGCCATAAGCCTTCCTAATGTCCAGCTTCATTAGGCATCTAGGACTGATTCCTTTCCTATTGTAACCTCGAGCCAGCTCTTGACATAAGAGAAGTTTATGCATTAATTCTCTTCCTTCTATAAAGGCACCTTGATAGAAGGGGATCCAGTTTCTCCTTTGCAAATTCAACACGAATGTTTCTATTTCATATAAGTATTCGACACGATCTTTGAAAATTCCTATGAATTGAATTTTTCATTTTTAGAATAATAAAAAATTGAAAAAGTGAAATAACTAATATTATACCCGGAGTAACGAATAGTAAAATAATGAATAAATTCTATAAATAGTAACGAGTATTTAAAATTTTGGATTTTCTATATTTAATACTATTATAGGCTAATATATTATGGTCTGCTCTTTAGGTGTATTCTTGTGCGGACATTTCTACTTCAGATAAGTATTCGACATGATCTTTGAAAAAAATCTAAGAATTGAATTTTTCATTTTTTAGAATAATAAAAAGGTGAAAAAGGAAAAGAATCAATATTATAACTTTTTTGGTTGCTAGCAATAGTTGTCTTAAATTACTGAATAAGTTCTATAAATAGTAATGAGTGTTGAGAATTGAGGATTTTCTATATATTGTACTTTTACAGGCTAATAGTTTGTGGTCGTTTGTTTATGGGTATTTTTCCGCAAATATTCCTAATTTTTTTTGAAAGAAAGTACTCATCTTTATTCACAAATCACAAAGCGTTTACAACCACCTTCAATTACAAAATTGAGGCCATATACTATTAGTTATAGATTGAACATGATATTTAATACAAGCTACAACTTTTTCCTCTTTGATCTCCTTCTGGTGAGGTTTTGAATTCATTGTGTTACAAATATTGTCGCAAGTAGCCATCCATGCGGCATTGGTTATATTCCCCCTATAAAGTGGTTTCATCTACCAAATATTCTCCCCCATCTTTTGTAAGCTTTCTCCATTGATCTCGTAAGCCTCTAAGAGATCTTCTTCATTACACTCCTAATGAAGAACTTCAAGTTACTTTAAAAAGTTCATCTTAGATATGCAACTTTAAAGTTAGAATTTGTTCTACTTATCTAAACTTTAAGTTTAAAGTCTCAAATTTGGTAATTAGAATCTAATAGAAGAAGTTTAGAATGTAGATGCAATAATAAATTAAATTAAAATCTCGATCAGAATCTAATAATTAGATAATGGATTTTAAAAACAATGTCATTTTTAATCTTCTCAATTTCCATTTTTGAAGTCCTTAATTATTTCTTCCATTTCTTAATTAAAAAAATCTATGGTTCAAATTCATTCTCTTCTCTACACAAATTTCAATAACATTTTTGAACAAGTCTTTGTTAGTTGAGGTTATGGCTTGTAGGGAGACAATCTCTTGGCTTTTAGGGCGTGGTTGCAAGGAAGTTACTATTATCTCAAACAATCTGCAAGTGGTGTATGCTCTGAGACAAGAGGACTATGGCTCTGTTTGGGAATAGCGTTAGAGATTAGCGTTAGCGTTTTGGATAAAATTTTAACGGTGCAGATTACTTTGAAAACGCTAACGCTAAACGCTGCCCGTTGATAGCCTTTTTCAAAACGCTAACGCTAATCGCTAAAGCTATTCCCAAACAGACCCTATGAGTCATCTTCGTATTTTGGATCGTTGATTGATGCTTGGAAATTCATGTGGCTTGGTTTTGATATGGTGTCTTATCCCTTTTCTGTAGATCATTTAATATTATTGCTCATTTTTCCTTTTAAAAAACAGTTCTTAAAGCCCATGTAAAGAGACTAGTGGAAGTGTGGAAGCAATATAACTAAGCCAACCACAAAACCACCAACTGTAGACCGAAATAACCAAAAGTTCAATTTTGCATAGACCTCCCAAAATTAGCCGATTATTTTAATTTTCTGTTAGGTTTGGTTACAGGCTTATGAGACCCGAACCAACTGAATAACCGACCCTATAGTATTTATTATACGGAGTATATTGTTAACAGTTAAGTGCTTAAACAGTTAAACCTACTAGCCCAGCCCAGATCCGCACACGAGCATGTCTTCATATTTCATGTTTTAATTTAAGGTATCCAGAATTTTAACTTCATATTTTCAAAATGGAATTATAATTTATAATCCTTCAATTTTTTTTTAAAAAAAAACCTGATCCTTCAATTTATTAAGCTTCATGTTTTTAAAAATCGAGTCAGTTTGAAAATTTTAATTTTGTATTTTCAAAACTTTAGTTTCACATGTTCATGTTCGAATTTCATATACTCCGTATCTATTGATCTATATTTAACCAGCTTTTACTTAATCAAGTGATACGGCAATTCCAGTTCATTTGCTATTAAAAAAGTGATATGGTTTTACTCCAGTAATAGGGAACTCTAACTCTGAGACAGCCAAAAAACACAACGAAAGAAGGGTTCATGCTGCTTGATTTACCCCATTAAAGAAATCACGCTAGATAGGAGTAAAACATAGAGAAAGTACCAAAATAGGAGTTCCATGTTTTTATTCCTTAAATAGGACTTTGCACTGTGGTAATGTAGCACTACACATGTGCATATTAGTATACTTTCTGGTAATGTAAATGATCATGATTGGTAATGTAAATGTATTTTAACTCTTATTTTGGGAATAAAAACATGGAACTCCTATTTTGGTATATTTTCAATGTTTTACTCCTACATTAGTCTTTTTCCCTTACCCATTAACCCTTGCACCTGAATGTACACATATGACTTCCGAACTCTGAGATGATATCTACTAATGCTCCATAGCCAGCCACAGCTGTAACCTGAAAGCAATCAAGGACACGGCATTGGGAACATGTTTTCTGTCTGAGAAATAACAGGTGAGTACTGAGAATTAGGTCGGTCGTGCTTGGTTGGGGGGAATGGTTTTTCTAGAGCCAAACAACAGGAAGATATTTTCCTTTAATAACATCATTTCCCCCAACCAAACACTCCCCTTTAGTATTGGGATTTTTACCCCTGAAGGATGTGATGAGATGGAAAATGTTGATTCAGGAGCACACTGTATTTGTGAAATGATCTCCCCACCCATACTGAACCGGCTGAGTAAAGGCTCTGATCCTACTGCCAAAACCTAAGGTAAAACCAAAAACTCCTCAGCAAACTGGCCAGCTAAACAATCATTCGCTAATACTTCCATTATTTCCTGATAAACAAAACATCATGTTTTGAACATTTATGCAAATTCTGTGCTTAATAAAAACTATGTATTAGATTACATAACCAAATAGAGACATGATCTTATTGTTTGAAAGCTAAATATTTAACTAACCCAGTAAAATCCCACAAAAGCAAGATCTGGGAAGAAGGTGAGTACGACAGTATGTAGTACACCCTGATATTTCCATTTTTATATTCCAATTATCTGGTGTCCAGAATCTTTACTCCCGTTACCAGATCATACTCTAGTATCCAGATTTTAGCTAAAAGTACTATTGCATCAAACTCGAAATTCCAGTTAAAAGACTCTAGCTACCACATTCCATTAAATTTATGGCGAAAAGAACCAGCCCTTAATTAATTGTCACACCGTGTGGTACAGACCGGCGGGGTACGATGCATCTGGACTCAGAGGGGGGAAAGTAGAAAAGTTAAATTTTAAGCATACTAACTTGATGGTCATCAAAAATAACATCTTGCATAGCAGAATTTGTTGTTATCCTTGTTATGCAATGAGACGCGGGAAGGTTCCAGATTGATAACGACGGGCCACTTCCAAATGCCTATATGAGTCATAGAAATCATAGTCAGTCACTCATTACAGCTGGAAGTTAATTCCACAGAAGTTTCCCCCCAAAAAAAAAGTTTAAGAAAAGTTGTACCAGCCAGCTCTCACTTGCATCAAGGGCAATGCAACTAATGTATGGAAAAGTTTCTTTTAGGGTCTTATCCTTCTTCGGATCAATTACTTGCACACACTTTCCACTTTTACAATCTACGACCAGAAATTACATGCAATTCCATATATCAAAGGAAGGACAATAAAGGTCTAAATTTCATTAAGATATGAACTTATGAGGCCAAATATTTACCCCAAACTCGTACTGTTCCATCTTCTGAACCAGTTATTACCTAATAAAAATAAAAAAAAAATTGTGTTGAATTAATATAGATCTTCTACTGAAATGCATATTGGTGTTTGGGACCAAGCACAAAACAAACACAGCAAAATTTCAAATTTTGGTGCCAATGAATAAAAGGCCTTTTAACCTGATCATGAGAATTACGCGCAATAATGCAATGAAGATAGTCTGAATGTCCCTTAAAGACCATTTTAATCTCACTTCTTTCCTGATAGTCATGATAAATAAGAATGTAAGATGATATGAGAATAAAACATAGGAAAAGAGTGCAGATGGTTAAAAAGGATTTTATAAGCTAGCAAAAAGTCCACCCCTGCAACAAATTTCTTGTAAAACCCAAGGAGTTTACAAGTTAGCTTAAGCACATACATACCAGATCCCAGCAATAAGCGCATGAATCACCAGCAGCAGCGAATACTGATCCATTCTGTGAATAAGAACAGACAATTGCATGCCACATCAATCAATGGCGAGTAAACCGTGGGGTTATCAACCTGTATGGTGTTTGAGTTTTTAATGCATCACTATGGCATTCTACACAGGAAAAGTTGCATTCTGATGTTTCTGTTTAGCCATATGCATAGGTGAATGCGACTCACAATTATTGATTTTCATCGGGCAATAAATAAGGTCATCTCAGTTTGAAATATAGTCAATAGAATCTTCAGAATCAAATACCATAAGGATGTCACAGCCATGTCATTGTTGAATTCTTGAACATAAACTACTTGTTGCAATTAGTCATAGAACGTATAGAATTAGTGTTTAGAAATGTATAACAGAACTCCAAACCTGTGGATTAACAGCAACTAGTATTCTGACCCGTGCCGTGCACGGGGTCGAACGAAATTTATGTCGATTTTGAATTATTTCAATGAAATTTATTTTTCAGAATAAAGAAAATATATTGCTCACATAATTTTTAATACTACAGATGAATTATTTACATTGATCATTCTATATCAATGCCTAATTTTTTTAATCGTATGCATATCATATTACATAAAATATGTACTCACCTTTTTTTATATTCACCCATTTCATACCAAATTTATTGTCCAAGTTTAGAATTTTTCATTTTTAAATTTTTTAGATATGCATATATTTTTACTCAAGGTTGTTAATTTTCGCCCATTCAATTGATTAAAATAATCAATATCTATAAAATATTTTTATTACACTAAAAATATAGAAAAATGAAATTAAAGGGTCATGGTTGATAAAAAAATTAGTGAGCTATATGCATACCAAGATAAATCAATGGTTTTAAATTTTAATTATCCATGATTTCTATGAAACCAATGAATGATGTTTATTATTTTTATGGATGTACATTATGATCGGTAAAATAACATGACTATATAAAAAAAATACATATTTTTATGTAATCTTTTGGTGGAGTATTCATTTTTCTGATGGAGAATTTGTTAAATCCTTCTAAAATTTACATCTAATTTTAAATTTCGTATAAAACCTTAGCTTATTTCTTTAACTTAAAAGAAATTATTTATACTTACATTTTACATATGAAGATAATAAATTTTTTTATTGTTCATTAAAAAGCAACCGTATTTCTTCTATTTTAACGCTCTTCATCTTGTTGACCGATTCATTGTCATAACCAACATCGGCTTCTTTCTCTTGCATTCTCTTAAGAGGGGTAAGATTATTCATATCATCTTCAGCTTGCAATGACCGACTATCTTCAGTTTGAAATATAGTCAATAGAATCTTCAGAATCAAATACCATAAGGATGTCACAGCCATGTCATTGTTGAATTCTTGAACATAAACTACTTGTTGCAATTAGTCATAGAACGTATAGAATTAGTGTTTAGAAATGTATAACAGAACCCCAAACCTGTGGATTAACAGCAATAGCATTGTTCTCTGGGATTGGTGAAAGTGCACCCCATGGGCCTCTGAGATATGGGGAAATAAAAACACGGAGGTAAATATTTTCATAATGGAAGGTCATGGATTGTGAGCATCCACCATCATCCCCTCTGACCTCCCCCTTCCTCATCTCCCTCCAGTTGTGTGTGTGTGTGTGTTGGACAAGGAATGAAAGTGAAATGCTCCATCCATCCCAAAAAAAAGTCATGTTTCATTAAGGTAAAACTTTTTATTTTTTATAAGGTACTCTGGTAAATTATTGATCCTACTTACAACAACCTGCCCAAGATGTCCTCTGGGAGGTCAACATATACTGACGTACACAACCTTACCCCTGTAATAACAAAGAGGGTGTTCCCATGAGGCCCTAGATGCATTGTTGCATTTACTACCCAAGACTTCATAGAAAGTAAGAAGCAAAGGAAGTTTAAACAATTATCAAACCTACTTAAATTTTAAACTTATTTTTTTCAGGGACAAAAATAAGTTTGGAACAGGACTAATTTACCACCATAGATGCCAAATCATAGATGAACTAACTTATGGGTTGAGGATCTACCATTCTACCCTGACAAGCACTGTCTTTCAATTGCTTTACTATCAAGAAAAATCATCAATGTGTTTTGTGTGAGTGAAAACAAATCTATAAAAATTACAATTAATACAAAAAGATTCCAGATAGGCCAAGAAATTGCAATTGTATATACTTCGTATTCATCAACATGAAATGACTATGAAATTGTAGAACTAACTTATGTTGAGGATTCACCAAATCAAGCACTGGTTTTGAATTTCCTCCTGCAAACAATAATTAAGGTGTTACTGTCATTTGCTGGTTCTAATGATCAAATTGAGAGGAAGGGAGGGGGGGTGAAAACTATTTCCAAAAGTTCATAAACTTGAAAGGAGCAACTTAATACCCCATGCAACTGATGCAAATCAAGTTACCTTGAATAGAATTGTTTGATTCCAAAATTTCTCCCCTTTTCCATCCCCGGATTCGGCCATCATCGCCACAACTACATAATATTTAAAGGAAATTGGAATTATAGCAACGTGTGACCGCCGAAAATTATATGGAACCAAAAGTTGTTATACTTAATACTTGACAGCATGTATCCATGTTAAACAACTTTTCAAGACGTGAATATAGCAGCTCCCCTTTTTTCATGTTTTCCATAATACTATCCTGGCCTATCAAAATAAAAGACTCATCAAGAGCCAAGGCATATCAATCTCATCTAGCACATTACAAAACCAAAAATCCATATGCATTTTTAGTGTCTACAGAAATAATTTTTTTTTTAAAATTCAGATAATGCTGCTCTTTCACAGTTGATGCATTTGAAATCAAAGCTCAAGAATACCCTATATAAATGCATGCCAGTTATGGGTGGTACCTTAACAATACCGAATCCTCTGTGTTACTGTAGAATTTAATATCATAGGCAGGTCCATCATGCCCTTGAACCCACCAAAGAGGCTCTGCAAGTGGTGCAAACAACCTATACCAAAATCACCATATTCATAATCAATAGCTGAGAACAAAAATTAAAAACCATAAGAAAAAAACTACATGCAACAACATAGTAATTATTGTAAACATATACTTACTTCCCAGATCCGAAATCCCCATGACAGGAACCCTAAGACAGAAATTAAATTAGGAATAAGAAGTATGAGCTCCAGACCAGCATAAATTGAAAAAATCGCAAATAACGGCGTAGTTGTTGAAAGGGAGAAATCTACGGCTTACCAAGAGGGAAGAGATGGAGTATGAGGCAATGGAGCCGTCGCTTGTGGCGGCAAATAGGTGGTCGGGAGTTGAGCTGCGGCTCGAGTTGGGACCAAAAGCGGTCCGGAATACGGTTCTGCAATTCGTCTCTATATCTTGCAGGATGGAGTCTCTGTAAGACTCTTCGTCCCAGTTCCTACAGTCCATTACCATTTTCGAGTTCCTCAGGAAGAGAGTGAGTGTGAGCGGCCGTTTGCGACGTCTTAGTGCTTTGAACTTTGTGGTTTGCAATTGTCAAAAATTAAAAGATATAATTTCGATTTTTTATCATTAAAATTGACAAATTTTGATAATTAATTATTTCCTAAATACTCCTTCCGTCCCAAAAAGAATGAGACGGTTTGACTTTTTGGAAAATTAAGGGAGGGATATTTTGGTATTGACTTTTCAAAAATACCCTTGATGTGATGGGTAGATTATTAGAAAAAAGGTATGATGTGATAGGTAGGGTATGAAAAAGTAAGGGATAAAAGTGGTTTTTTAATAGAAATGTAACGGACTTTACGGGACGCAATTTTTTCTAAACGTAACAAAATTTTTGGGACGGAGGGAGTATAATTATTGATTTCTATAAATATCCATAAAATGAAGCTTGCGAAGGAAGAACTGAGAAGAAAGGGGGAAGAAACACTAGAAAGAAAAATATTCCGTATAAAATATTTGTTCAATCGAAAACAATAAAAAACAATAAACAAGAGTATATAGAGAAAGGATAACAATGCCAACTAACAAACTTAGTATTGGATAAAACCAACTCAAATCAAAACTAAGCTACACCAAACCAAAGTTGCTCTAGGCCTCATTTGGCATCAGCATTAGACTTTAGTGTTAGCGTTTTGAAAAGGTTATTTGACGGTAGCCTTTAGCATTAGCGTTTTTTGAATGAATCTACACCATTAATATTTTATCCAAAACGTTAACGCTAATTGAAAACGCTCTTTCCAAACAAGGCCATAAGGAAGAAACATGGATGAGAGTGATACAGTCATCCTAGACTTGCACGTTAGACGACCACCAACGAAATGAAAGGGAAGGGTGTAAATCTGACCCTGACATGTTTGAGTGAATTCGACAACGTTAGTGGATGTCCATCCATTTTGATCTTGGCAAAATGGAATTGTGAAGCATTTACTTCTTAGAAGCACTATATATCACTATGTGCCTAGAAATGGGAATCAACAACAACAACCCAGTTGGATTCCACAACAGAGCCTGGAAATGGGAATCATCATCTCAAATCTTTTGTTCTTTTTTTGTAATGGTGGCCTGCAATAGATTTTGATATGTTATATATTAGCAAATTTCTATGTTGATTGATGTGAGCAATGGAAGTATTTGCTTCCTCAAATCAGGTCTAGACTCTCTAACACCTATAATGTGTAGTGATTTCAATGTCATCATGTTTTCTTTTTAAATTTTCATTTGATTTTATTTTATTTGACTGATATAATGGTTCAATTGAGGGCGATGGGTGTAATTAAGCTTGTAAATTTTGGCATCGCCAAACACGTAGGTGTCGAGTTCATTTTTTTGTATAAATCTTTTTATACCATGCAATTTTATGGTAATTAGTCAAAAAATGGTTAAAATAATTTAAAATATGTACACTTTGATTTTAAAACAAATACCTACCTACTTTTATGGGATTCAATTGGGTTTAATTCAAGACAAATACCTAGCTCTTAAGGAACACATGGTAATATTTTCTTTGTTTATACACACCATAAGCAGTTTTCTCTAGCTATTCTCTTTGTGAACCATAAACAACCTAAATTATTTTACGGAGTATTAGCTAGTATTTATTTACGTTTAAGTAGTGGTTTGTTTAAACTATTTCTTGAAAAAAAACTTACCATGCATGTTAATATAGCTTCAAACATGGTCTTTGGTGAAGAACAATACTTGAAATGAAACACATGGAGCTTCTTGGTTTGAGATTTATGAAACGTTTTATTGGTCATATATGTTGATACTTAGATAATTGGTAATCAAGTTCAATATACTTTGTGCACTCCTGATAAACTGGATAAGTGGCGATATCGATAGCTCACAATAGATAGGAATAGGCTCAATGTTGGGGACATTTAATTCAGCAAACGAACCAGACGAAGTTCAGCACTTGATAAAAGCATACTAGAGAAAATGGTAACAGAGCACAAAAACATTATATGCGCCTAAAACTTCACTAGTATTATATGCTTTTTACGTACAAAGACTGACCAAAAAGTATTATAGTATCTATATGGGTGAAACCAAAAACTACAAACATATACTATGATACACCACCCTAAACATATACATGGCGGGTGCAAACTAGCTAGCTAGAGAACATACCATAAACATAAAACGCATATATACATATATACACTATACATCGATCCAGCAGCCATTTTTAATTCCTCCTCTCCATGAACTGGTTCATCAAAACGACTCTGAGCTCCTGGTAATTATGCAACGATGAACAGGCGCATGCAGTTCATGCAGTTCAGTGGTGATGGAGGAGGGAGAAGAGTCTTTTTTTAAGTTGGTACCCATTCCGGGGAAGGCCGGGCGATCAGATTCTCCAGCTCGTGGACGATCTCGCCGTGCTGTTTGGCAGTTTCAGTTTCGTTCTCGTAAATCATGTCGTCCTCTACAAGCTTCTCCCACAGTATGAAATTCTCAGAGTTCATCTCTGGACTCCCCATCCCCCCAGCAGGATTATTGCTGTTGTTGTTCTTGATCTTCTCTCCTTGCTGTTGTTGTTCCTTGACAGGGCTGCTCGAATCATCAGAGGAGAAGAGCGTTTGTATTTCAGACTGAAGCATCACTAACTCTTCTTGGGGCCCGCCGGGCGGGCGATCAGTAGTGCTCATTGCAGCATCATCAACCAATCTTCTCTTCTTCGTGGCGGCCCTCACCCCGCCGCCGCCGCCGCCACTGCGCTGCCTCATTTTCTCAGCAAAGTGATGAACGAAGGAAGGGTTGTTGAAGGCTTTGACGACGAAGAAGACGATGTACTTGTGTCTGGTTTCAGTGGTCTCCAGCCGCTCCTTGACCATGGCAAGATGGCTGTCGGTGCTTTCCTGCTGTTGCTTCAGCCTCATGATCTCCATCTTCATCGCATTCTGGTCGTTCCTCAGCTTGCATATCTCTGCTTCGGCCTCATCGCAGGAACCAAACCACTTGTGTGCCGCTCCCCCCGGAGTCTGGTGATGGTGAAGCTGGTGGTGCTGGAGCATCATGTGTGGAGGATGGTGTTTTCTCCTCTTGATGCTCATCAGCAAATGCTTCTTCCCTTTCTGGAACCCTTCGTTCGCAAATTCCCATCTATCTGAATCAATTTTCCTGAACCGCTAAATCAAATTCCAGACGAAAAAAACAGTATCACTTTCATTCTTTTTTTTCAAACACATAACCTGACTTTCAACAACAACAACAACAACAAAATCTTAGATCCTAAACTCTTAAGTCCGTGTTTGGTTTGCCCCATCATCTACTGGAATGAGAATTGCATACCAATAGCTCTTGTTTTGTTACAGAGTTTTTAATACCTAAGTGTTCATATCGTTACGATTCTGTTAGAACAACCACAGATTTGAACTTTTGGTTGGGTTGTTCCATGATATAATAACTTTGTTAACCAATATGTAAGCAATTCAAAACCTCACCGCCACCCAATTTTAGGAGTTTCCACTCAATTTACTTGGAATTCCAAAGGCAATCTTAATTCCCAAACTTGGAACCCTAATTTTATTATTTGCAAACACGAACCAAACAACCTATTTCATGGATCATATCAAAAAAATTGAAATTACAACAAGAAAACGATACTTGATCGGGGAACTGAAATGCTTACATATGTGTTAAGCTGGCGAATGAAGCTAGAGAAATTGTTGTGCTTGAAGTACTTGGGGAGAACATCGGTGGAGAGCTTGTGCGGGTCCCAGACAACGAAGCTATTCCGGGTCGGAGTCCAGGATATAACCGGGTCAGTGTTCGGATCATCGACCATATCATACGTCTTCTTCAGGAACGGCGGCGGTCCCACCTCCCTGAGCCCCTCCGCCGTTTTAGGAGGACCTGCTCCTGCTCCTGCTCCTCCTCCGCCGCCGCCTGGGCCAGGGATGCCAAAGGCGTCGTCTTCTAGGAAATAAACCACCGGCTCTTCCTTGACGGGCATCACGGCGGCGTGTAAATCCATGTTC